AAAAGACTGTAACCAACAGAGCACTCAGTATTCTGGGAAGTTTGTGTGCATTGGGAATCATATTTTTTCAAATAAAGCCAAGGTAACACTCATTTTACACAGTGAAAATAGTGAAAATGACATGAATATGACAGTGGGCAAATGCATAAAGCGCAGCATAATTTAAAATAAAGTTTGTCGTTTAAAGTTTGTTGATCTCACAACTGGATTCGACTAAGTTTGCAAGGTTTGTGAAATTAAATGTTCATTAGTCATTCAAAGATTTGTTTAAATGATATAAATGCGTATTTGCTAAATGCTGACGGCAAACAAGAAAGTATTATAATGTTTGCCTTTCTATTACTAATAATATAAAAGCAATCGTTATAAGACTTTTTGTATACATTTTAATTCCTTTGTTTAAACGTTCTATCTGATTATTAGACAGACTTCTATCCGTATTTAGACAGAACTGTTAACGACGACAGCCAACCAGAGGGAGAATGTGAGCGGTGTGCGCTCAGGCGCTGCGGCTGCTGTTCTCAACGCCGTCAAAATAAAAGTCCGGCGCATCGGCCAAACAGGAAAACTTATCGGCCGATGCCGATATTTAAAAAATGCCAAATATCGGCCGATATATCGGTCGACCACTACATTTTAGCAGTAGGATGATACTCGATGATACAGAAGTACTGAACGTGTCTTGTGTAGAATAAACTTTCGAGTTCTGCTTTCCATTGAAACTGGCCTGTGCTCTCCAAATCTGCAGACAAAAATACACAAAAACAAGTAGTGAAAGTGCATTGTCAACCTACCTAAAATATTGACATCCAGCCGGTTGTGTGCAGAGTGCTTCAAGAGCTCTTGAAGAAAGGCCGTCAAATAGTTAAAAACGTTTTTATGGCACTGAGGTAGCACAGAAATGATCTGTGGACATAAAGAGAAAGGCAACGTGTTATTCATTTGACCGTGACAGAACATACAAACACAGCACTAGCAGAAATGGACACTACACTGAAAGAGGCATACTGAAGACACAAACCTGTCTACACTGGCTGCTGTCTGAGCAGGAGTCTAAGCACTGTGGGTAGAAGGAGAAGGGAATCACTGGTTCAGGAAGGGCATCGAGGAACAAGAGCAGGGCTTCAGCCACAGAGTGGTTACTGCCAGCTAAAGGTGCTTCAGGTCAAGGGCACTCAACAGTCAAGTAGAATAGAGACACATGGGTCTACACATAAAGCTTATCAAATCTGCATATTAGAATGATTTTAGCATATTAGAATGATTGAAAACAGTTATTTTAAATTGTAGTAATATTTCACAATATTACTGTTCTTACTGTATTTTTGATTAGATAAATGCAACTTTGTTGAGTAGACAAGACTTACATTTACATTTAGTCATTTAGCAGATGCTTTTATCCAAAGCGATTTACAAATGAGGACAATGGAAGCAATCAAAATCAACAAAAGAGCAATAATATGCAAGTGCTATAACAAGTCTCAGTTAGCTTAACACAGCACATGTAGCAAGTTTTTTTTTTAATTATATAATATATAAAAAGAAAACAGATAGAATAAAAAAAGAATAGAGCAAGCTAGTGTTAAGAGGCCTTTTTTGCTTTTTGTTAATTGTATAATAAATAAAAAGAAAACAAATAGAATAAAAAAAATAATAAAAAGATTAGAGAAGCAGGTGTTTTTTTTTTTTTTTTAAGAATAGAATTAGAATAGTATGGAAGCCTGTTTCCGCCACTGAATAAAAAATAAAAAAACGGTAATTGCGACTTTTTATCTCACAATTCTGACTTTTCTTCTCAGAACTGCGAGATATAAACTCGCAATTCTGAGAAAAAAAAAAGTCAGAATTGCGTGATATAAACTCGCAATTCGGAGAAAAAAAGTCAGAATTGCGAGTTTTTATCTCACAATTATGACTTTATAACTCACAATTGTGAGTTTATATCACGCAATTCTGAGAAAAAAAAAGTCCGAATTGTGAGATAAAAAGTCGCAATAACCTTTTTTAAAAATGTTTATTCAGTGGCGGAAACAGGCTTCCATAGAATAGAGAGTGGTAGAGTTAGAGGGTCAAATACAGATGGAAGAGATGTGTTTTTAGTCGTTTCTTGAAGATGGCTAAGCTGCTCGGATTGAGTTGGGCAGGTCATTCCACCAGGAGGGAAAAAAAAGGACTTAAACTTGACCCCAAACTTTTGAATGCTAGTGGAATTTATTAAATCCTACTAAATATCAATAAAAATGTAATCAAAGATAATTTTACTAAACATTTGAGTCTCGGTGAGCATAAGAGACCTCTTTCAAAAACATTGAAAAATCTTAATCATCCCAAACCTCTGGCTGCCATTGTATGCTTTCCATGTACATTATTTTATATAGTCCGTTTATCTACATAGATTTTATTATTGAGAAATTATAATTCATTTTACAGTTAAGCGAATCAGCTAGTAGCCCAGCTATGACGTGTCATTTTTACATTACTTGCAATAATTTATGTTCGTTCATAAAAAACATAAAAAAAGGTTAAAAACATAAAAACAACCTAAAATGACGTCTTAAATGATTCCCTTTGAGCTAAATTGACCTGTTTCCCTTACAACGTGCAAATGACATACATTAGCAAAACCGAGGGTATTATTTTTTTTAATAATTTGGTCACAAAAACATTTATTTTAAAAGTTTACAACTGCTTTTATATTTTAGTTTTCATTATTATTTTTTATTACGTTTTTGATATCACAAAAACTAAGCGAGAACTCTTTTAGTCTTCTGTTATATTCTTGGTTTTTATTTTTATTCTGGTCCTGCAATGTGAAAAAGAGAACATGGCCACCCATACAATATGCCATGAATTATTCCATTAGGCTACGCTTGGAATATCTTGTTTTTTGTCCAAACCTTCACTTACCAAGTCTTTCTCCTGGTCTATTTTTGCCAGGGCAAAATAAAGGAAAGTATTTTAATTTCTGGAGTTATCCAGAAATGCAAAAAGCTTCTAGTTAATGCAAACTCTGGACGCACGCTGGGTCAGTTCACACCACAGACATGAATCATACAGTGACCATGTGAAAGGATACGGAGAGTGTCTAAGCCGACCGTGTCCAAACAATCCCGAATCTCCTCAAACTCGCTGCGTAGACCGGGCTGTTGAAAGAGCTCTTCCTGTAATACAGACATTGTCAACTATTTCACTATGGCTGCTTTCACAGTTCTTGGATGAACTCCAGGCATTGTGCTTCAAAGTTTCCTTTGCAATCACATGTGTAATTGTGTAGTAGATTTAGTCAGCCATCTCTGAACAGCAAAGAATGGTTTGAGGAAGCTTTAATTTCTTGTTTCGGGTTACTGAAACAACTGCTAAGGCAACGGGTAGTGAATTTCCTCCACAGATTCCTGCTTTAGTGCTGGTGTTGCTATAGAGAGCAGCTCAATGGCTCCACCATAAAAAAGACAAACAGCTTTTAGCAGCACAAAATTACAAAAGCACAGTTTTAAGACAGGGAAAGAGAAAAGTTTAAGCAAGCTTAAAACACAATAATACATGAGAAAAGGGCAATCCTGACCTGTTTTTTTGCATAACGGAAGAGATGGTCCACCATCATCCATATTTCCTTGGGGATTTCTTGAGGTTTATCAGTCTCTGGGTTACTCACTTGGCTATTCGACTTCATACTCTGATGTAACAAATGAAAATTATGAGGCAGGTTAATCATTATCAGATAATTACAGCTTGTAACCAAGTTTTGATATATAGAATATTTATTAAATGCAAGTATCCTTCACAGAGAAGACAACCTATAATGCATGACAGCAACTGCCGGGAAAAATCAATTCATTCACCAAGATTTTGAGTAGTGCGAAATGTTGGCTTTATGTACACTACCGTTCAGCAGTTCGGGGTCAGTAAGATTTTTTTTTTTTCAAGAAATTAATACTTCTATTCAATAAAGATGATTTAAATTGAACAAAAGTGACAGTAAAGAAATTCTATTTTAAATAAATGCTGATCTTTTGAACTTTCTATTTATCAAAGAATCCTGAAAAATAAAATGTATCACTGTTTTCACAAAAATAAGGAATATTTGACGAGCAGCAAATCAGCATATTCTAGTGGTTAAACGGATCGTAGTTGATCCGTGATACGTACGGACCAAGCCCCACGGTTCGGCACGCATGTGATCCGCGGATTAATTGCAAAATTTAACCATAATAGAGTATAAGTTTATCATTTGTTCGTATTTACACAAGCAAGCGGATTTTAAACAATTCCAGAGAGAAAAGGCGAAAGGGAACTCGATTCGTCACGCGCACAGCCGCACACACATTAAGCGCGCACACGCGTTTCAGACGGCGCGTTTTTTCACTAAATGTTTGGATTTCTAAAATTATTGTGCACTGATGTTTCTAGAATAACTTTTGCTGCCGAATTATCCACTAACCTAGTTTATGATACATTTTTGTCATTGATTATAAATATACATAGGCCTATATTTTTTCACATTTATTGTTTATTTTATTTTTCTTTATAATGAAGTAGTCTGTATCTAGTAGATTGTGAAAGAATGATTATCTGTTCCACACACAGAGATATATAAATTCTACATTTATTTAAATGAGGGAAAAAAAATTAACTGGTATCGGATCGGTATCGGCCAATACCGAACCCTAGGTATCGGAATCGGTATCGGAGGCGAAAAAGGCGGATCGGGGCATCCCTAGTATCAAAGTACTTCGCTTTAAGTAATAAATGGAAAGCAAGTTAAATTGAAATATTTTTCTTTTCTTGCTGATCCGAAAAATTCTCCGATCCGTGGGTCAAAAACCGTAATGTGATCCGAACCGTGAGATTTGTGATCCGTTGAACCACTAGCATATTCAAATGATTTCTGACGGATCATGTGACACTGAAGACTGGAGTAATGATGCTGAAAATATATTAATTTTTTATTACGACAGGACAGCAGAGCTGAAGCGAAGTGGGAGAGGAAGGGGGGATGGGATTGGGAAAGGTCCTTGAGCCAGGATTCGAACTCGGGACGCCTGAAGCGCAACGGTGCTATATGTCGGCACACTGCCCACAAGGCTATCGGCGCCAGAAAATTCAGCTTTGATCACAGGAATAAATAAGATTTCAAAATATATTCACATAGAAAACAGTTATCTTAATATTTCACAATATTACTGTTCTTACTGTATTTTTTGGATCAAATAAATGCAGCCTTGGTGAGAAGAAGAGACTCAAAAACATCTTAACTGACCACAAACTTTTAAACGGTAATGGATTACTAAATATCAACAAAAATGTAATTCAAAATTATTTTTACAAATATTTGAGTCTTACGTCATATCTGCTTAATGAAGTAGCAACATGCTAATGTCACGATATATTGTAATCAGTCATGAGTAAAGTCTCCCATGTGCATCATGTGAGGAGTGCAGTCACTTTAGGATGCTGCCTCAGAAAGTAGCTGTCTATTCAGGCAGTAGGAAGGTTTTAAAACAGCTATAAGCATGGTTCAAAAATATAACTGTCTGTGAATCTGTCACAAATGGCAGTGCTCTTATAAAAATCACAAAGTCTGTAATGGCAGGATCTCACCAGCTCTCTGATGGTCTCCAGGGGCATGTCCTGGATGGGTTCTCTCAGCAGGCACAGGGTACTGAGAGACGAGCCGAAGCAGCTGGGCAGGTAGTTGCCTGTGATGGAGATGAAGTAATCTTTACCCCTCTCCAGATGCAGAACCAGGATGTCCTCCAGCTGCTGCTGGCCTGAGTTCAGATCTGGGGCTGTAGAGCGGTTCACAAACAACTCCAGGTCGATGTCCACACTGGCACCTATGCAAAGACCACATCGACATCAGGGACTCGAACGCCGAGGTCGGCTGTGAGACTGCTAAAACATTTGCAAATAAGCACCGTTTCCATCCGATGTGTCCAAGAGAAAAAAAATCGTCACTTCCTGATAAATTGGCAGTAAATATCACAACGAAAAAGTGGGAGAAGCCACTGAATGTAATAATTTTCATATAGGCTATAATAAATGACTTGTGCCTCAGAGCAAGCAGACGAAACAATGAATGCGGTCATTTCAGAATGACAATAACAACATTTTAGATGCTGTGCAATGAGATCAGTCCGCTGGTTAGTCAGGTTATACCATCCCATCGCGCAAAGTCACATTAATTTTTTGATGCGCATGGAGGAATTTATTCTGCAAATGCATTTCCATCTCCCATTAACCTTTTTTTGCACAAGACAAAAACCACCTCAAGTGAGCGTAAAAACTTTTTTGCAAATTTTTTTCTTCTTCGAAATTTGGCTTTTCCATCACTCGTTTCTGAAGCGATACTTCATAATGCGTATTAAAACAGGGTGATGAAAACCGATAATTGCTTTTAAAAAACAAATAAAAACATGCCTTGAGGGCACGCCAAATATCAGCATGCTTGCAAATATAATACTGATTTTATGCAACAGTTTAATAAGCAAGAAGTTAATATTACAGGGTTCGTACAGAAACTGCAAAATGAAATTCCAAAACTTTCAAGGACTTTTTTGGTTTTCAAGAACTAAAATCAGAGATCTCACTTATCAAACAATATCGTTGTCTTTCAAATTCTAATAAACTGATAAAACAAAATGGTATAAATAAAGTGCAACACAAAAGCATGCAATGACTGTGGCAACTTTAACATTTGAAAGGATATTATGGCAAAGTTATCGCTTTCCTTATTCAAACTGATTTTTTTTTTCATGAATATATGATTGACTTGAAGAATCAAAGCTGAATCATACACTTGAAAATTATAAGCTATATCACCGCTTATCGACACTAGGGGTGTGACAATACACTTAGCTCACGATATGAGACAAAATACAGATACTTGGTTCACTAGAATGAGACAATATTTTAATACTATTTTTAAGAATTTTTTTTAATGACAAAATATTTGTCTTTTAAATCACAAATAAAAACAATGCAGTTGTATTTTGAAATATTTTAACTAATCTAGGGCTGTAACTTTTGATTATTTTGGTAATCAAGTAATCTACTGATTATTTTGACAATTGAGTAATCTGATATTTTTTAGTAATACAAATAGACCTAACTGAAAAACAGGCTTTAGTATGACTATTGATATAAACTAACGATGCAGCAATAATAATTGGTTCAAATAAAGTATCAAAACCAAGTAATTACATGGTTTTATTGAACAACACTGTTAAAATAGGCCTACATAATGTAATACACAAAAAATTAACATAACCAACTTAAGTACATTATGTATTATAACAAATACCTGCAGAGGGCGCCAATGGCCTGGCGATGCTTCAATTTACAGCATGATTCAACGACTTTTAAATCCATTTAGTTTTAATATTTGGCCACATGCAAACTCAGAGCGAGGGTTTAAACTTTTATTTTGAAATCGCGATATACAACAAATCTCTATTTAGAAATTAGTTGATGTATTCTCCGGTGTTGGCACACAGTTTTCCCAGATGAACTTTAAGCAACCCAAACTCACAGCATATGCAGAGGAAGAGTTTGTGGACCGAGCTGCTGAGATGGAGATGCGCTCCACGCTTGTAAATGATAACAGTGACACAACACAAAGCGCGTCAGACTTTATACGTTTTCCCAAATGAAACCCAAACAAACTTTAAGCACCTTGTACAAACCCTGATATTAAGTGAGTTTCAGACTAGAGTTGTAAAGAGGGGGGAAACTTCCAGTAAATTTCCATAATTTTTGGAAACTTTCGTAAACTTTTTGGTAAGTTTTTAGAAATTTACCACCCCTTTGCAACCATATTTCAAACACAATATTGTCTGTTTTTGCTTTATTTCGCCAATGAAAACAGTTCCAAAAAAAGCCACATTAGAACTGTTGTATGCTGTGTTTTGTAACTGAATTAATCCATATTTTTTTAAATAATCATTTGAGTGCATTATTCAATGTTGAATCTATCAGTTGTTTGATCAAACTGGCTAAATGAATGTCAATCCCTTAGTATTATTTATGCAGCTGTAACTGCAGTGTAAATGCATTCATGCCATCTCTGAGCTGCATTAAACAGTCTTTGTAAATACATCCAAATGCCACTTCAGTTGCAGATGTCAAATTCTGCAGCACAAAGATTTTGTTGATAATGATTTCATTTGACTGGAAACAGCCTTATAGTGTCTTACTACTCTCATTGAATTAATTATTGATTGAATGTAAGAGTTTGATATAAAAGATGATGCATACATCTAATAAGGTTAGAAGAAATTGCCCCTGGGAATTAATTTACCAGGGTAAATATCACAGCTTAATGGAAAAGTAAATTTTTGTGACTGCTGTCAAATAATTCCAAATTAATTCTGTCATCATTTACTCACCCTCAAGTTGTTCTAAACCTTAATGAGCTTCTTTCTTCTGTTGAGCACAAACAGACTTTGACTTAAATAGTATGAATAAATACAATAGAAGTCAATGGCTAACGTCAATTGTTTGGTTGTACAGTAAAAAATGGGGTGAGTAAATGATGACAGAATTTTCATTTATGGATGAACTATCCCTTCAAGTTTTAATTGTGAACACTGACAGCACAGTGTAGTTCGTACACATTTTGTGTATTGATGACGAAGAACTGCTTCACGTAGCTGTATAATACACATCAAGTATGTTCTGAATGACTGTGGCTTGGTTGCTTCAAGCAGCATTTTGCTGTCAGTGAAGACTGAAAAATTATTGCAACTTCTTGTGCTACACCTGGTTAGGACACAGAGTTACGTGATACAACTGACGACATGTCACTGCAGCAAATACTGCTAGCTGTGATTTGCTTTAACAAGAGGGCATGTAACAGCCAGTCAATCTCAATAAAACACTAACAGCTGGTTGTTTTAGAACTATTAACTAGATGTCACTCCATCTACATCGAATAAACACCAACACTGTGGCGAATGTAAGTGTAGCAGTGAATCCCTCTGACCTTGAGCCAAGAAGCCTTTAGCAGGGTTTGCCGTTAGCCAGGGCTTGCAGTAGGTGGGCTCGTCCAGCTTTGGAATGAACTCAAACTGACACGGCACCTGTCCATCATTATAAACGGTCACAGTCTTTGCCTGATGCTGCATGAACTTCACATCCTGGAAGAGGAACTACAGAAAGAAACCAAAAGGAAATATAAGGCATTCATTTTCCATTTAAATGAGCATTACATATTCACAATACTATTCACAAGTCTGGGGTCAGCACATTTTTTTATGTTTTTGAAGTGTCTTATGCTTACCAAGGCAGCATTTATTTGATCAAAAATACAGTAAAAACAGTATTAATGTCAAATATCATTACCATTTAAAATAACCGTTTTCTATTTTAAAACATTGTAATTTGTGTAAATTATTCCTGTGATCAAAGCTGAATTTTCAGCATCATTATTCCAGTCTTCAGTGTCATATGATCCTTCAGAAATTATTCTAATTAAACATGTGCCGGTATTAGGTAATGCGATATATCACGATAATGAATATGCACAACATTGTGAAACTGTCATCGATTTTTTTTTTCAGGATTCTTTGATTAATAGAAAGTTCAAAAGAACCACATTTATTTGAAACAGAAATCTTTTGTAACATTATAAAATGTCTTTATTATCACTTTTGAACAATTAAATGCATCCTTGCTGAAGAAAGTATTAATGTCTTTCCAAAACTTACTGACCCCAAGCTTTTGAATATGAGTTTGAAATATAAAAGTCAATGGCTGAATTATGGAAGAGTGCTAACCTCTCTTTGAGACAGAGACACTGAAGGAATACAATCATTCTCCATTCTGTCAATGTGCCTCACAATCTCTTCGAACGTCCGTTTATATGACTCCTCGTTCACGACCTTGATCTGTGCAGAGTAACAGCAGATGTCAGTAAGAGGACAGAAAATGAGGACTGGCTGAAGGATGCATGATCACGGCTGGTGTTCTCACCCCGATCTCTAGCAGAGAGCTGACGGGTTTGTGGTCACTGGTCTTCAGGGTCATGTGACTCTGGTAATGAAGCTGTTTAATGTTCTTTCCCCTCCACAGGATGCGGTCACACCATGCTGGAACTCGGCACTTCTCACTGCATAAACAAAACAACACTGCTTAGATGAAGTGATCAGACCACTAATAACACTTGCAAACATCTTGCAAACACTGGCCATTTCCTACTTGTATAACATTTTATTAAACTTCATGTTTTATTTTTTTTTTTGTTTGTTTGTTTTTTAGTCCACTTTAGGACTGAATGATACTGAGGGGAAAAAATTCTCTATTTAGTTGTTCTGTTATATATAATGCAAAATGCAGGAATTTTCATCAGATGGCATCTGCACAAAGCCGGCTTTTCATAGACCACATTCCCACTGTTTTTGACTTATTCAATATGATTGATGACAACAACTTGTCTAATAACATGTACGAAATGTTCAAATAAAGCTTGGAAAAAGTTTTATAAAATGGTAGACCTCACATTTGAACCATTTCAACATTTAAAAAACAGTTAATTCAAAATGATAACTGATTAATAAATGATTATATGTATTTTATCTGCTCCATAAATAATTCTAGATACCTTATCCGAATTGTTTAAATGTGCAGTATACAAGCATGTTTTTCATCAACCGGTCAAAATTTACAGCAGGGCATGCAAATTCGGTCCTTTTTTGGCCAGAGAAAAACTGCACACAGGCTGAATGTAAATGTAACTCTCTGTAAATCCACTCTCTGACACTAGGTGGTGCTTATGGAACAGCAGAATTACAGCTGCTTCCCATAACCTCCATGGACAAAGCAACATGGCAATTAAGAACACTACTTTACTTAATTAGGTATTACATGGAGCGAAGAAGAAAACAAAATGGCATCCAGTTTTTTCTGAAGACAGTCAGAAACTTCAGAGGTACATTCATATAATTAATTCATTCGCATATTCATTTGTATAATTCCCTCCCAGCTTTCCGCCATGTTTTCATACTAAATGAAACTATTCTGCGTGCTATGCGCACGTGAAACAGTTACTTAAAATTTTGCTTTATGCTGGATAGTATTTATTTATCCTCAGTTGTTTAAATCATGGTAATCGAATACGGTTTTAATCATAATTTAAAAATTACACATTAATACTAACCGTGGGGAATTTTATCATAGATTTATCGTCCGGTAATCGTTGCATCCATAGTATATAATTGTAAAATTACAATACTAATATTTCCATCTTAATTTCTTTACTTTAAAAAGTAAACCAGTGTCTCAGATCGGCTTGGTCCACAGTAAAAAAACGAGCATATGTAAATGTGTGTAAATGAACATGCTTCACACTAGGGCTGACCCCCAATAGTCGGAGATTTTGATGATTTGAGGATCCTGATCCGATTACCAAACTCACAGTTGAATCTTCACAGAGGTGTTATAAAAATGAGGATCATGCCATTTTGGCTATATGGGGGTGCTCAATGTCTGATTTCACATAGAACTACCAGTTTTCTCCCAACAAGTTAATATTACAGCCCATTATGATAATGCTGTAAATAAAAATGTGAAAAGAAAGAAGCATTTAATAAACATTTTTTACGTGCGTGAATAAACCCAACCACCCCTGTGACAGATTTAACTTTCACTTTCCATGATCCATGACAGACAGAGGAACATCTTGGCGGCTTCTGCCGGCCAACGTTAACACCTTGACCTAACTAGATGCAACTCGACAAGATTCCAGTGACAAGCAATTTGGCTGTCCATACCAGACTCGACTCGACACGACACTGTGACACGAGAGAACCACTCAAATATCATAGCCATTCAGAAGTGAGAAGCGCACTGCACTCTCAACAAAATAAACAACTTTATAATCTAATTCATAAATATTAAACCTTAAAACTACATACTGAGTGACTGATACCATCTTTGTCATGGAAAACACTTGTTGGTTCACATTGAGCTCGTAGTTTTAACCAACAGTTATATGTCTGCTTTAATTTATCTTCAAGATCTGAGGTAAACTATCTGTTGCTGCTTTTAGCATGGCTATAAATTTCACGCAATATGATAAACTCACATTAGGCACTTTTAACACTGAATAAAGCACATAATCAGTACCTGAGATTATAATTGTCAGTTTGTATGTTGTTCCAGCCGCTACGTCACAGAAATAGAAATTCTTTCTAAAATAGAAACTTTGCATGTCGCTGTCGTGGCTGGTTATGACAAAAACTCAGATTAACATGGAAAAGATACCTTTTACCGCATGTCGTGTGTTGTTTCTGTGTGCAGTGTGTGAAATGAAATAAACACACACACACATACGATTCGACTATCAGTTGACTATAGGCAAGACTTGCTGAATCTGATTTGACTATGTAAATAGTGCACATATTTAAAGGGATAGTTCACCCAAAAATGAAAATTTGATGTTTATCTGCTTACCCCCAGGGCACCCGAGATGTAGGTGACTTTGTTTCTTCAGTAGAACACAAACTAAGATTTTTAACTCAAACCATTGCAGTCTATCAGTCTTATAATGGCAGTCAATGGGCTCCACGGCTTTGAGAATAAAAAAAAAAACATACACAGACAAAACCAAATTAAACCCTGCGGCTCGTGACGATACATTGAGGTCTTAAGACACGCAACGATCTGTAAGAGAAACTGAACAGTATTTATATAATTTTTTACCTCTGATCCACCGCAATGTCCAACTGTCCTGAGCGCGTTCACAACATCACAACATCCAAATAAATACGGTTGGGCAAAAAATTCCACATTGTCTGATGATATATCAAAATCGTCTTCCATTGTGATGACCTGAACTTCTAAATATCTTTAGATCATCGCAGTACCAGTGAACACGTCTGCAATCTCTCTGCACTGTGTAAATAATGAGTGACATATACGCGTGACAGATCGCTTCC